TACTTTGTTTTTACTGCTTTAATATATGAATCAGACTGATGGGGGGTAGGGAGGAAACATTCCCTAAAACTTTCTAGTCCCATGGGCCATCTGACTGAATCCCTGCCACAGAAGTAGAAGGTCTTAGGAAACCTGCTCTGGGGTAGAACCTAGATACAGACATTTAAGAAATCAATCTAAAGTGTTACTATTTAGAATAATGGGAAAAGCCACAGTCAGTTTTATTCAATAATTAATTGGTTTCTAATCCCTCCAAATGATCAAGAGAATGTTCACATGGTTGTTATACAGTGCCCAGTTGCTGTGAGTTGCCTGTGGGCTGTGGAATAGGCACGAAGTTATAGCACCCTGCGTTTTTCCTTCTGGGGAACTGAGCGCCAGCTGAGCTTCTTGAGACTGCAGCTGAAATTTTGGAAGTCCTTGGATAAACTGAATGCAGGCAAGAGCGTTCCCTCCTGCTGCAGCTGTCTTCCAGTCTGACCCTGCATACATCTTATGGAAACAGGTGCATGTGGGATAGTCCCACCTGGCGGCAGTGGCAGCATGGAAGAAAACTTAATGCAGGCAGGGACACCGCCTCCTGCCACAGCCACTTCTTGGTCCAGCCCTGCATGCACCTCTAGAGGCCTGCAAGGTTGGACTGGGAAGTCGCTGTGGCAGGAGGCGGTGTCCCTGCCTGCGTTAAGTTTTCTTCCACGCTGCCACCAGGTGGGACTACTCTACATGCACCTGCTTCCATAAGATGTATGGAAGGGCACCCCATGCCCTACTGGGGTGGAAGCAGCGGCGGGAGCTGCCCCCTCCCCATGAGCCGCAGCTCTGTCCTGTGCCCTGGCCCACTCCGGGTGGGCATGGCCTGCCCCTGCCCCTGCCCCCTCCCTTGCCACAGGGGGCATTGATTTGCCCCCCTTCCACACCCCTTCCCTCCCCTTCTACCACAACGAACTTCCCAGCTGCACGCAGTTCTCCACACTGCTGGGCTATGCTCTTCACTGCCTGAGTACTGCGCTGTGGCTGCGTGCATGCATAAGCATTTATTGACCTCATTGGGCCGATTTCCAGTGCACTCAATTTTCTTTATATCAGTCCCAATCTGATTTCGGACCAATGTATCGGTGCACTCTAGCATTAGTTTATTGTTATGCCATAGCAGACACTCTAGCTGCACCTTTGGGAGCTGCCAGGATTTTAACTTGCCTGGCTCTGGTGAACACCATTACAAGTTTGGGCTCAGATTTTCACTTTTAACATAACTAGCATGCAACATGACACTTGAGGCACAATACTTAGGGCAAGGCTGGGCAAAGATCCAACCTGCCAAGGGATTTTATGTGGCCTACAGTAGGTCCCTCAGCTGTGTCGCGTGTGACTGGTCCTGCTGCCCCTAGGCACGTGGTGGGGCAGGAGTGGCATGGCAGCCAGACTTGGCTTCCCAGCAAGTCCCTGCATCCTACCAGGCTGCCATTTCTAGTGGCTTCACCGCTGCCGCCAGACCTGGCACTGTTGCCCAGGCACCCCGGCCCTTCTACCCTGCACCCACTGCCAGGGGCTCTGGATGGAGTGAGCAGGTGGGTGGAGTCTCTATTGGGGACCAGCCCAGGACCCCTGTGGTGTGGACACGCGTGGCGGAACAGATGGAATGGGACTGCACGTGAGTAAGTAGCGGCAGCTGGGAACAGGATGGGCAGTCAGGGCTGAGGCTGCAATCATGGGACGTTGACAGTATGGGCCCGGGGTCCTGGCCAGAACTGTGATCTGTTCCCGTCATGTCCCTGCCCATCGCAGGGATGTGCAGGGAATGGATCACGGGTCTGCACTGGGCCCTGGCCCTGCGCTGCCATCACCCCGCGATTCTGGTCCTGACCCCGTGCTATCACTGCCCTGCGATCCTGGCCCTGCTCACCCCCAGCCCCGTCCCATCTGCCCAGCCCAGTGTGCCCTGCGTGTAGGAGTTCCATTGTGGTCTCCATGGAGACCCTGCCAGCCCAATCTGTCCTGCACCCCCAGGAGTGCATGCAGGGCAGATGGGCTGGGGTGCCTGGGCAGCAGGGCCAGTGCCAGCAGTGGCAGTGGACAGGGGCTCCCCCCCGTCCCCCTCTCTGCTGTGCCAGGCTGGGTCAGCATCACCCCTTCCCTGGCTCATAACAGCTGACCCAAACTCCTTAAGTGGCCTTTCAACCCAAATAATTGCCCACCCCTGACTTAAGGGTTCATTAACATCCAAAAGTGAGAAAAATTAGTTTAGTTGGTGTGTCAAGACACAAAGTTGCATCTTTCTTATATTGGTTTAAAACTATTTATAGTGGAGAATGAGCAGATGAAAGAATTATACTGCTTTAAAAAGTCAGGCTTTCCCATAGTCCTACTAAATCTATTTCATGTCTCTTTTCTATTCTTCCATAAACAGAAGCGAGGTTGCCATGATTTACTACCCATTTCTTTTACAGGTAAATCATTACCTAATTTGACCTGCTGAGGGATAGGCATGAGCACATAGAAACAATTACAACAGATTAATTGCAAGCTTTAAAACTCCGCCTGAAAGAAGCCATGCTCTCAATTTTGTTTGAGACGTTACCTAGAGTAACCATTCAAAATCCCCCAGAAATGCAGATTTTATACAGTATCTTTCATAGGTCTATGACAAACATTTGGAAGACTTTTTTTCCCCCTTTTGATCCTTCTCTTGCAAGATGATGGTGACAAAATGGCTATTTCTTTTTATGATGGAAGTAAATTAAAAGGTTTTCCAATAAATTAATTGGAGGAGGACCCAGAATAATAGCTTGTTGATGTTACCCTTGCTTACACAAGTAGTATTATAGGTTTAGATGCTGTGCATCTTCTGATGACTCAGTATTGGATATTGAACAGGAGAATGGGTCACTGAGGGCACGTCTACACATGCACTTTGATGTGCAGTAGCCTATTTTACTGTGCATTGAAGCGTCATGTAAAAACTAGCGCGATTATGCTAATGCACAATAAAATAGGATACTGTGCTTTAAGCGTCACTAAAAATGTGCATTCATTACTGTGCATTAAAGCAGTCTAATGCACATTTGTTTAGTACCTCACATTGGTGGTCCTAAATTTAATGTGCATTGGGAAAAGTGCCTTAATGCACGTGTAGGCACGCCCGGTGAGATTTCTTATGTGAGAGCTTTGCAGGTGGAGGATGAGGAGCACTCTAACTGCTGGGAGAGCTGCTAAATTAATTATTTAAGTCATCTTGATGTGATCATTTGAATCCTTTGATTTAAAATAGTAGTCAGTCTGCTTAATACAACATCTAAGTGCTTTGAACTCTGCTATACCAGAACACATTCAGGTGGTGGAGGCACTACATGCAGCTAGTTGTAAGGCAGAGAAAATCATGTTTATTGTTCATGGTGTGATTTGGGAAAGTGCTTGGCAACATTTTTGGGCAGCAGGTCAAAATGACCCAGCTCAGGTCCGAGGCAGGCCAGCACTTAGATGTGGCTGCTACCACCACCTTTGCTTTTCCCACCTGCTGCGGTACAAGTGAAGCCCCCCTGCTGCCACATGCCACCAAGGCCCCCCAGCTCTGGACCAGATCCAGTGGCTCTGTTGGCTGGATTGGCCTTAGGTTGCTGACCCCTGCTCTAATACCAGGTTTATAGGCACGATAAGGGTAGGGTGGATAACTATACATGAATAAAGGCAAAACATACTGAAGCTGCAAATGAGCTTTCTGATACAGCAATGTACTATAAAATTGGAAACTTTTTCTATAAATGTGACATGAAGAATTAATTCTGATTTTAATTGAGTGTACAGTAGAATCCCTGGAATCAGCAAACCTCCTTGAAAATGCTTGTGCCAATTAGAAGAGCATATGTATAACTTTTAAAAGTCCAGAGGAATGTAAATTGCTTAAAAGTAAGCATAAAAAAAGACATTGTAACGAACTTAACGGAAGCCAAAAAATTTAGTTGTAATGCAACCTGGAGGTAGGAGAGCAAGGTGGGAAGTTCATGCCACCAATTAACCATCTATAACTTGTGTGACATTTTAAAATTCGCTTCATGTGTCACAGAATCTGTTCCTTGCATTAAAGTTCTCAAGTGTTAGTACTGTTTGTTTCACATCTAACATTGAACACTTATTGGCATAATACCTTCATATACTAATGTACAAATCCACATAACTATAAACAAATTTCTATCAAACCATTATAATGAACAGTTTGGTCCATATCTCACTGGTGGCACAAAATGAAAAATGCTTTATGTAGATTAGTACTTTTTTTTTAAATGTAGGAAGGGATTCCTATAGAGTATGGACAAAAAAGCAGTTACGAAGGGGCAGTGGGGTTGGGCTTTAGTTTATGTCAGCTTCTCTGTGGTAAGCAATGTCATGCATACTTCTTCCTCATGCTAAGGAGAAGCTAAAAATGTAGTAGCTTAGGCCTCGGGGCTGAGTTATTTCAAGCTAAATTGCCACAGTTTATCCTCAGCTTACCTTTGGAAGGTGATATATGGTAAAACCATGCCGTTTTACCCCAGGGTAAATTGTTGGACTGTACCATATGGCTGTTTAGTCTGGGAGTGGCCAACCTATGGTGCAGGTGGCACAGATAGTCTCGTGTATAGCATGCAGCATATTGGCAGAAAGCAGAGCATCAGATCAGGCAGGGACTGCAGGATAGGAAGCAGAAAGCAGAGCAGCAGCCTGGTCAGGGAACCCAGGTCAGGTAACAGAAAGCTAAGCAGCAGATCGGGTAAGGGAAAGGTATTGGGGTGGCACTCCAGGAGGATGCAGGCTAATTTGAGGCAAACTGCCAAAAGGTTTGCCCCACACTGATTGTGCTCCTGCGTAATATAGAATTTATTTTGGTAGTTTGTCCAAATAGCAGAAATTTTGATTTTTTTAAGTATTGAAATCACAATAGCCATATGCATGATTTGGACTTAACAGCACTTAACATAACAATATGTATTCACAATATTTTAATAGGTTTATGATTTTCTTGACAGAGGAAGCGAGCTTGGACTACTGAACAAGCCTCCTTCCCAGATGAGACACCTCTGGAGTTTAGAAAAGCAAGTGTCAGGGCAAAAGTGGCTACTTCTTCCATTTCCAGTGCTTGGCTCAGATGTGGTGATGGATTTCAGAGCACTTCCGTGCTGCAGGTAAGGTCCTGGTCTGCTTATGGTGCAAGTCGGAGGTGCAAATTGATGGTCATGGGGCTTTCCATCCAATTTAGCTTTTATGGACAATCCAAAAATAACAAGACTTCTGTTTATAACAAACCTGTAACAGATCACTGGGCTTTCAAGAGCTTTGTAACTCCTCTTTCAAAATGTCTGTCAGATGGAATGTTTAAGCCATTATCTCGTCATATTTTCTTGTATTCTCAAAAATAAGAAAAAGCATGTTTGATTTTAAAATTTCTAAGAGTTAAGTGAAAAGCATATTGTTGAAATGACAAGGTGGGTAAGTATGGAAAAATGCAGCTGTTTGTGAATTGTTTGTACAGGCTGTCCTCGCACTTACGGCAAGTTATGTTCTTGGAAAAGATGCTGTAAGTCGAAACAATGCAAGTCGAATCTGATTTTCCCATAGAAACAATGTTATAATAGGGGGTTACGTTCCCAACCAAGGGTCTGATGCCCAACTTTTTACAGAAATGACCATAAACACCATATTTAAATAAACTATTTAATCAACTATAAATGATACACACAGTACAAAGCTTTCTAAAGTGTACTGTATATAAATCGATTAAACAGAGCAATACAGTAACTAATCGCATAAAATTGTCTTTAATCAGAAGGTGAAGGAACATCTTTATCAGGGTCATGGAATTCAGAAGGGCTTCTTTGGGGAAATTTTTGGGGAGACTTAGGGCCACTTGATGGCTTTTTGAGAAAGTGATCCAGGGATGTTTGTTTTGCTGCCCTCTTTTTCTCATTGTAAATTTCCCTGTAGTGCCGTAAGTGTGAGGATCCGTCACTGTAAGTAATAACATGGGTGTAAATAGTGGAGTGCTACAAGTACGAATCACCGTAAGTCAAAACGCCGTAAGTTGAGGACTGCCTATATAATATTCTCTGTGCATGTGATGGTATTGTTTTTCATTTTTGATGTATAACACCTATGGTCTGGAAAAATCCCAGAGTAGCTCTAAGTTTATATTTAGAGAAAATATGAGTAGTATAAAGATTTTGGGATGCAATACAGTAGATGTTTAAAAGTATACAGTAACACTCTAGTGTTGGCTCTGGATTTAGGACCCAAATGTCTTGTTTGGGGGGGACCCAGCCCTCAGACTGACCACAACATTTCCACTCGATAATAGGCAAATGTATTGATACACAGTGATAGGAAATACAAGCAATGCAGGCAAAGCAAGTACAACATGCATTACCCAAATTTCCCAGTGCCCAGAATATGCACAAGGCGAGCAATCTGTCCAGTTGGTACATTTCCACCTTGAGGTTCTTTGCTTGAGCATCCAATGTCAGCAACCTTGGAGGTTGGGGCTGATGCCAACTGTCTCCCTGCTGTTTTGAAAACTCTTCCTTTTATATTCTTTCTTCTCCTGATGACTCTTCATCCCTGGGCATCGTCAGTTGGTCTTGTGGTTGTCACACATCCTGTGTTGTCAGCCAAAATCCCATTTTCATAAACCTATCACATGCCTACATCCTAATTTGGGGCTTTCTTGGTGTTCTAATTTGGTCTGTTCCCCCAAAACTGGAAACCTTAAGGCTTTTTGCAAGCCCTGGAGCCAGGCCGATCTCTATTATGAAAATAAAATGTAGATGTTTTCAATTTTATATATCTGTTAGCTGCAGACACCCTGTCTTCCCAAGAGGCTAAGAGAACCAGGCTTTTAGAAATCAATTAACCCTTGCTGCTATAAGCTTTATTCTAATGCATAGATATTACCCATGATCTAATTCCCAAAAGTAAACCTCTAACTATCATTTTTAGTCATCATCTAGAGACAAAGAATATCATATCTAGTTGAAACTAGATGAAATTTTATGTAGAGAAAATGAATTTTTCGTAATAGGAGATTGTTCTGTATTTCAAATACATTTGAGACTCGCCTCAGGCTTACGTCTCATCCAGATTGGCATCTGGACCTCACCTCTGCCACTGTACCTGGAAATTGACTTAAGTCTAATTGATATAAAAATGCTACTAACTGTAGTATCAACTCTGTGGCTTGTATCACATGGCTGTTCACTGGAAGTTTCCTATCCAAATACTAATCAACCCCATCCTGGCATGGCTTGTGAAATTTGATGACAGGATAACTGCAAGCTCCTTTCCGTCCCTTTTTAAATACGAATAAGGATAGCATCATCTATTTTCTTGTTTCTATCTTTTATAATTTGAATTTAGATGCCCATTTTTCTTCCCTCTGCCAGGTGAGATGAAATGTCATTTCTTTAGGCAGGAAGAGTTTCTAACCCAAAGGAAAAAATTAAGCAGTTTTTCAGTAGTCACTTTGGGGGTGGGCAGGGGGAGAGTGAAGGGGACTTCTTCACAATTGGTAATCTTCCTTGTTATTTCATGATCATTGAGCTAGCATGCTGATGTGAATGACTAAACACAATAGTACTGAGCTATAAGCACAGTATTTTATGTTGAATGATTAAGAAAAATAATTAATTCAGCACATTATTTTATCATACAGACTACAGAATGTACTGAAAAGAAGTCAAGGATTAATAAGCATCTTGGGTCACTGCTTACCTCTTCTGAAGACACACTTGGTGGGCTATGTTTTTTCATATTTATTAATTGTGTTGTATACTATTAAAATAGTTACTTAGCAGTTCAGAATGGCTAGTAAAGGTGAAAATTCAGTTAAAATATTGCTGGTAATTACCTGTGTGGCAGTTTGGCCATGTGTCCATGGGTAACAACTTGTTGTTGTATAAAATGAATTGAAATCTTTAATTCTCTGACAAGTGGTTGGGATCTCAAAGGGTGATACTCCTGCAGTGTAATGCATCATACCGCCTTGTTGGAGGTCTTACACACCTTGGTGGGAGAGTATCACCAACGAAACCACTAACATCACCACTGCCTTTGGAAATCTACTCTTTAATTACTGCCATGCCTCAGCACTACCTGCCTTGTGAGGTCTAACAAGATCCATGTTCTTATGGTAGAGTTTACTCTTAAATGTTGCATTTTTTAACTCTTTTAGTCAACATTGCCCATCTATGTATACCAGCCTTGCCAGCATCTGTCCTCTGGTGTGGTAACTTTTTTCTCATTCGGTTGCACAAGCTGATTGCAGTAGAAGCTTCCATTGCTGTAAACTTCCTCCACTCTTGCTTGCAGGAGTGAGAAAGCCACCATGATTTTTACAGGCCCTCTTCTAGTGCATCAGTTTTATCCATCTGCACCCCATCCATCAGAATGGAGGGCAGCTACTTAAACTTTTTGTGTCCTCACATTCCTCAAAACCTGTGATGCTTCTAGTGGTTCCCCCCAAGTAAAAAAATGTGAAATAATGGAAATCTACCTTTTTGCTTAGCATTCAAAATAATGCTCTTTCTGGGTTTCCAAAAAAATCACTTCTGGGTAAGGAAGGCCATGTATTCTGTCCTCCCCCATCCGAGATGCCCAACAGTTGTTAAATTTTTCATGTTGGAGAGCTTAATAGTGGAAGGAAATGGGGGATCTTGGTTTGCTAGGTCAAGTAGTGCTGTGAACTAAAATTCCCTTTGTTACCAAACTCCAGCTCTTTTTTATTTTTTTCAATTTGTGCCCATAATAATGGGTAAAAGCCATCGGAATAGCCATCGCTCATCTGTAATTAATCTTTAAAAATTACACCTTCAGCAATTATCTGTAAAGAAACAGCTTTTCCTAGTGACCAAGCCATTCATGGGTAACTTTCTCTAATTTGTTTTGACAGTATAAAGCTTACAATTCTGTATCTTAATTTCTTACTGTTAAATTAAGTGTGGGTTCCTCCCACTCCTGCCCCTGCTTCACCACTCTGGGTGGCTGGGTGGGGGAGGCTTCATCTGGGCAGCTCCCGCTGGAGGCAAGGGGACCAGAGTGGCACCTGTCCAGCTGCAGCTACATTGGGAACAGCTCTGCCACCTGGCCTCATAATCCCAGTTTCACCTGCCCCTCGTGCTCCGGAGCACTGTTCCCTGCCTACCCAGAACCCCATAGGGAGTTTTGGTGAGTTGTTGCACAGGACAGTGAGGGGGGTGGGTGCTGACCCAGCCTGCTCATCAAAACTCCGTGTCTCTCTTGGACCCAAATAATTGCCCACCCCTGGTGTAAGTGGTAGATGCTATAATAACATTAAGCATTGATACTCAGTTACTTGTCTCTAATATGTGGATACTGATTAACTCTCCCCGCCCCAGCTCAAAATAATGCAGTTTATTTAAAGTTAAGAAACTAACTGTTTTGATGATTGTAATATTGTAACATCAACATTCTCTTTAGTAGGAATCTCTATATCTAAGAACTCGAGAGAGCCTGCAGACATCGTGTGGAGCTCTAGTGATAGTGATCTGTCAGAGGATGAGAATAAAACATTAATGCCAAGTTTGCACAATCCAAAAAGTGATGGCTTCAAAGGAGAGAGATCTTATAGCAGGCGTAATTTATTGTTAGAGGACAAGAGTAGTGAAGGTGAGTTCAAATGTCGGCAAATGCTTTGTGGCAAGAAATTTGCTGGACTTTACTTGGGGAAAATTGCTTGAAGTTGTTATTACAAAATGTGAAAAATCTAACTGCTACCATTTAAAGCTGGTGTAAAAAATTCCATTGATTTATTTGGGAACAGGAGTGGGACCTAAATGAAACTGGTATAAGTGAAACATGAATAAAAAAGAAACTTTGAGATGGGGGAAATCATTAGTAATAAACTGAATACATTAAGTGTAGCAATCTCTCAGATGGTATACCAACTCCCTTGTCCATGAAGTAAAATAATAATGGGAGTGTTGGCACCCAAACTTGCAGCCGTTTTTTCACCAGTATATCACTGCCTGCTTTCCTGAAGCTAAATCCCCTGCTAGATGCAGCTGTCCCTACTTCTAGCACTTCCTATGCTTGTTAGAAGAATTGGGCCCAGACTTCAGTGTATTGTATTTCAAACAGTTCCCACAATTCTCTACATTGTCTCTTTTTATGCATTTATGTTGCTCTTCAGTGATCAATTTGTACAATTTACATAGAAGTACAATTTAATTCTTTGAATTTCTACATAGAGTGTTTTTTTCCCACATCTAACTTTATAATTGTAAGTTTTTTTTCTTATACTTAGCATGTAGAGTGGGGGTGGGGCAGGAGGAGGGCAGAGAGGTGAAAGTATTTGTAAATAAAGAGAGAAAGTATTTCTGTGCCTGAGTTTGTAATATAGTCTTCAGTATTTGGTAAAATACATTCTTCATTGTAAAACCAATGAGTGGTGTGGGATTAGTGTGCAGAGCTGGCTTTGCTGAGGCCTGATCTGGCGTGTGGGGCCCTAGTCCCACCTATTGCACTGGGCACCAGTCCAGATCATGCCAACGGTCATACCCTGCCCACAGGTCCATGCCATCTGGCCTGCAGGACTTAGAAATTTGGCAGTGGAGGAGCAGTAGCAGTGTTAATTGCCACTGCTTCTATTCCACCAAATTTCCTGATCCCTGCAGGCCAGATGGCTTGGCTTTGTAGGTCTTATCTGGTCTGCAGGCTGGAGATAGAGCACTACTGATTTAAAACATAGGTGGGAAATGGTATTTCAAAAAAAGTTCTCTTAGAACAAAACTAAGATTTGTCAGAGTTGGAGAAATGAGAGAGAGACTGACCCATATACCCTAAAGTAGCCAGGAGTCTGATGTTTAGAATGATCCTCTGGGTGTAGGAAACCCAAGATCAAACACTAGCCCTGCCTGCTTCAGAGTTGGAACTTGAGCCTGAGTCTCTGGCACCACAAGGCAGTGATTTAAATTAGTAGGTTAACTATTTGGAGCAAGGGTGGGGTTGTGGTGGTTAAGCCTCTACAAGACACCCCATTTTGGATCTAAGGATTGACATATACATTTACATTGAAAGTTCTCAGTGTTGATGAATTGCCATTTCCTGAAGGACTCTTTGGTTTTCTAATGTGAATCTATGCATTACTGTTCTTCTGTAATCTCAGTTCTTCTTGTTTTGTATTGTGTGATCCAACTTAACTATCTAGAGGTGAAATACCTCATTTTCCTACATATTACATGCCCCAAATAAGGCATGGACCTTTTTTAGGGGGGGGGGGGGGGGGGGGGGGGGAGGGCAGATTGAAGGGGGAAAAAAAAGGTATTTCCCTATTTATGGCTTGATATACCAGGGACAGAGTCTGACCTTCAGCTTGCTTACCTTCTCTTTCCTGCTTAGGCAAAGCTATAGTTTTAAACCTTTCACAGTTAAATTGTCAGTGGCTCTTGGCTGCTCAGCCAAAATGTGGAACTGTAGCTGCTACTGAAAACTGAACTCCATAGGCAGATCTAGGATTTTGAAAAGAGCTAAAACTATCTGCAGGCCTGTGAAGTAGGCCTGCAGAGAGAGACGAGAAGTAGGTAACAGATGGGGAAACTTGCTGAATGAAAGGTAGCTTGAGTCGTGGGACATCAAGACTGTTAGAAAAGAGAGAGGGTCATTAATACTTGTGGAATGAAAAGCATTAGCAGGTATCAGGTAAATTATGAGTCATTACCTCATTTGACACCCTCAGCATTACCTGAATAGAAAGACCATGGTGCTGCCAGGCAGTTAGTTTTAAACTTTGGATGGAGTAGGAATCAAAGTGAGGTACAAGTGCAACACTACACCCCGCCCCTGGATCTGCTGCTGGTGGACTCTGCTCCTCCCTCCATTCAGCTGCTGGAGGGAAGTGAGGGAAAAGAAGCAGCAGCCTTCTTACAGCATCTCCATGCTTCTTTTCTGGGTAGAAAATTGGAGGAAAAGGGTTTCCCACCTCTCTCTCTCTCTCTCACTGTTTTAAACACAAGAATATAGAAGCTGCCATTCCCCACAGCTAGGCAAATATGCAAAATCCTTCAAAATCTAAAGTAGCCATCAAACATAAAATAATTTAAGTTCGCTAGTATAAACACATGTACTGTTGTTTAAAAACAATTCAATAAAATTAGAAGTAACATTTTTACAAGTGCATAAAGCCAGTCCAATATTTTAGCATACAGAGCCTTAATCCCTGTAATGCTTTAGTTGTTAAAATCTTAACAAGGTACAAGGTGTGTGTGTGTGTGTGTGTGTGTGTGTGTGTGTGTGACTGCAGTATGTATAACTGCAGCTGAAATTCCTATCTTTTAAAAATATATATATTTTTATACTGGACAGTGTCTAATGCATTAGATAAAATGCTGTACAGCAGCATTTCTTAATGTTCAAATAGAATATTGAATGTGATCCCAGATTCCCATTGATCCAGACACAAGTCTATACAGAATGCTGTTGACACTAGTTTGATTTCTCCTACGTATACAAAGGTGTACGTGTACCATTCCCAGCTTTCACCTGCTCCTTATTTGTTCTAAGATTTTAGAAAAAGGCAACCATGCTCCCAGTCTTAAAGAAAGTTTCTCTACTCCTCTTCCTTTTGTGCTGCTAAGTGTGTTATGTGTGTCGCACACAAACAAGTTCTTTCCTCTCAAGACCTTGCCACCTAAGACCCTAATGTTGTATTTCCTTGAGGGTTGTAGGACAACTTTTGTGCCTGCTCCAGAGGCCTGTTGACTTTAAAGGATCCGATAAGTGATAGGCAATAGTTATTGACTCGGATGCTCTGGCTACTTTAAACATTTGTATGCAGGTATTTTTAATATCTGTCTTCTTCAGGGGAAAGTGGAAGAGTAAATAGATGAGTTAGAGGCATAATTGAACATGGGATAGGTCTCTCTGTTCCACTTCATAATCCTGTCATTGTAGATAGGAGAGCTACCTTCTCTCTCCACCTGTCTGTGTTTTGGAAAAACTTTTCTGTGCCTCTCTCTTTCTTTAGTTATCTATCTTGCTAGCAAGTAAAGTTCTGAAAGTGGTTTTGCTCTGTTGCCAATATTAACATTTCTCAGACTGTTGGATTTACTTGTATGCTTGTGAGTGAGAGCTCTTTAAAACTAACTTGATAAACTATTAAAAAATTATAGCTTCTTTTGGAGACAATAATATTGAGCTCTGGAACAGTTGTTAACCAGTGACGTTTCATACGCAAGTACTTGGCTTGTCATTTGTTAGTCATCTCTGTAGAAGTTAGTATTTTCCTGATGCTTAGCTTCAGAATTGTTTATTAGAGTAAAGCCTTTATGAACGATAGTATTAAAATAGTATGTTATGGAAATAGTAAGGGAAACACTATATGAATGCTACAAATTGGAGATAATTCATTTAACAGCATACTTGCTGTTCATTATAGCTGAATTCATAGTTTTAATTAACATACATAGGATTAATTAAGAAAAATGTCTTCAATTTTTACCATTGTTTTATGTTAGGTGAACCACAATTCATTGACTGGGAGAAGGACAGTGATTCTGATGTTGATGTAGGTAGGTCTAATGGATCAGAAAAAGATGACAGCCCATTTGACATACTGGATGAAGATTCCTATGCAAGTAGTCTGCCTGGTGAAGAGAAGGGAGATGAACCTTGTAAGGTGAGAAAATATTTCAACTTATAAAACACAAACCCAAATGATCTGACATTCAGGTTTGAGTACTCTTGGTGGAATATGAGTTCCTTTTTTTGTCTTTTCACTCCAAAATGGCCTTCATGCACAAGACCCCTTAAATTTCTTGTGTGTCCCCCTTCACCTAATTGCCTCAGATAAGCACACCCCTTCTAACCCCTTCCCCACAACAAATCTAAAAATAGAAAATGTGGCCTAGTAGAGCAGTAGCCAATGATTTGAACTTGTGGTCTGTTCCTGGCTTTGAACTTGTGGTCTGTTCCTGGCTGTGTGTTCAATGATTTGAACTTGTGCTGCTTTCCTGTTGGATGACCCCATACCTTGGCTTCCTGTCTGTAAAATAGTGAATAGTGATACTAATCTTTTTTTACAGTACTTTGAGATGTGCTTAATGAAACGCACTATGTATGACCTGGTAGTAGAGTTTGTTAAATTTGCTCTGAAGAGTTGTCCTAGGGGTTTCTGGGGCGGTGATATTTTCAGAACTTTTTCATACGTATAGAGGAATGAGGTTCCCTTTGCTTAAAAAAGGCAATGGTTGACGGAAGGAAGGTGAAAATAAGTATTGATCATTATAACTAGGGTCAAGTAGTCACTCGTCAATGAGAGATGATTTAGGAAATATAATTTTGAATTCGCAAGGAATTCAAAATACATGCAGTGGTTTAATTAGCATGTATTTGGCTAACAACACTGTGCCAGATTAAACTGTATTATGATTAGAATTTGAAAGATTTACTTTCAAGGTTCATGCGGTTGTTGAGTTCACCAGACAAGTTCTGTTAGCCCTGTGCACCGAATCTTTATACGTTCTATTATGCCTAAATTCTAGCATGTACAGTATAAAGTGCCCAAACTTTTTTTCAGTAGCTGTGCAAAAGCCTTGCTTTTGAACTTGAACTGGAGGAATCAGCTGTTAGACTACTGTCCACGAATGCTATTTAAATGAAAGAAAAAATAAGATGCTTCAAAACGTACAAATAAAAAGTGCCTAGAATCTAGAGGCTCTAGATTAATATTAATGCCTTGCATGTAGTAGTCATAGTAGTATACCAATAGGTTTGAAGTACTTCCAGCAGAGGGTGCCAGAAAACAACTATTCAGTTGTCTTGTCAGTAGAATTACTCAGTGCTTCAAAAGGGAACTGGATTTAGAGGATCTCATATACTTATGTAATTCAATGTGTTTTTTATATGCTACAGTGGCAGGTAAGGGTTTTTTTAAGGTTAAATTGTCCAAAGGGGTCTGAGAGTTTCAGGCTATGATTTTTTTCTGTATGAAGAATACAGATATCAACATCGAATCTGACATATGGGTAGACTTAAGGTATGACATATGTTGTTCTTGACAAAAGAAATCAAGGAGTATTTCAGTAGTTATAACTGGAATGTAAAAACAGTGGGGACAACTGAACTGTGGTCCAAGTAGACATAACTTTAGTTGAAATCAGTGGAGCAGTACTTGCTTATACCATCTACCATAAGACTATGCAGAAAGGATTTTCCTGAGAATAATACAGTTCTGTTTCCAGTTTGTTTATCACTGCCAAGTAACAGGACTTGAATATATTATCATAAGCCTTTTTAGGGTACGTAAAACCTTCAATCAGAGGCAGGATATCATCAGAGCTAGATACCTGACCAAGCCTTAGGGCATTCACACTAATATCAACAGTATGGCATAGATGTACCTGAGCTTACCTCTAAACTTCTAGCTTGGGTATAACCACTGAGCTACAGCAGTGGGCTAATTGCTTCAATATTTTTCCAGTTTCTCTGGCAGTGACCAAAGAAACAGAGTGTTGGGCAAAATAACTGGAATGGTGTGCCCAGTTCACACCTCCAATAGTCCCAGGAAACTTGGAATTTGTCTAAACAGAATTTGTTCTGCTTTTAACTATACCAAATAATTAAAGTGAATCCATCCTCCATTGTGGATACAGTTATGCCATAAAACAGTGATTCTCTTCTGAGGTGCTTTGGCACCCTGGGGTGCCATGAGATCTCATTTAGGGGTGCCATACCACCTGGCCCCTGCGTGAAAAGGTAAATGCTCTTCTTCCCCATCTTGCATCCGGTGCCTGCCCAAGCTACTTCTCTGGGAACTGCTGCCACTAATTTTGTAGTGGTCCATTTGTTTTTGTCAGGTGGTTTCTCTGTATAAAGTCACCCCCCCACAAAAACAGTACAATTCCCTGGGCACAGTTTCCTGCTGAGGAAATTTCCATGGGAGTGGCCAAGCTGTGCCAGTAAAGTTAACCATCGTAGCTGGCTCATGCAGCAGGGCATAATCCTCAATATCGGGTGTCCTCAACCCCTGGCTTATAGGCCAGGTTTGGCACCATGTGTGGTTGAAGACTGGTGCTCTATGCTATGCAATGCCTATGAGTCACCATCCTCGTATAAATAATTTTGGACAAACTGTTTTGCGAAAAAAACCTACAACTGAACTGAGCATAGAAAAGAAGTGGCTGCTATTGGAAAGTGTTTATTATAAAAATATTAATCTTTTAAAAAGGCTTGTGTTAATTTAATGCCTAATGCATTGTGGTATTGGCACCTAATGCAGTGTCTGGGTAATCAAGACAGAATTTTTTTTTGCCCTACTTCGAAATATGGTAAACCCCAGTAAGTGCTGGAGGTTTAGTAATTCTGCAAAAATTTCTTTATTGCTGTATTTACTTGTGTTAGTGTGCTACGTATTGAATGGACATTTAAAAAAAAAAAAAGAATGATTTTACAACTGTATCCTTCTTGCTATACCAGCAGGTTCAGTTTGCAAATTATTTGTCTCCAATGCTAATTAAATAAAAAGTAAAGTGGGCACCACACAAGCTTTGTGTGTTATATCATAATGTACATGGACAATATTAGCCTTATGTGTGGGTCTTACACACAAAACTAATGGCAGAAATTTTCAGTATAACTCCGTGATATCCTAACTCTGATCAAACATACTGAATTCATGAAGAACAGGCTTTGCTAAGTTCTTCTGAAAAATCATAGTTAAATCATGATGCAAGGTGCCTTTCTGTTTTAATAATATGCTTTCCTTTTGGTCTATAACTATCCAATTCTTACTTAAGAAAATATAGGAAGGACAGGCCTGGCTTGGTCTGGGTGAAGAGAACATTTTTTTGTTTGTAGAGGAGCATGGAGAGGCCCTCAGCCTTTGTGAATGGATCTAAATGATGATTAACTTTCAGTTCCTTCTTTCCAGTATACTTGTTCTCTGGGAGGACTTCATTCATTCCCTTCAGCTTTGGTCTGTGAACGGATTTCACTGCATTGTAAACGAGTGTTGAGGGATGGCCAATTTTGTTGGTTGGTTCACTCTGAGGACTGCTGTCACAGATAAAACCCCTAATTTATTTGAAAGAAAAAGATTCATCTCTTGAATTTTAAATATTTTGATTCCAGGAGATTAAACAAAATCTAATGCTATTCAGTCACATTTCAGGACTTCTACCATGCTGTCTCCTATGCTAGGAACTTAGTCTGTCTCCCTGTTTATCAGACATCCTCCTTCCTTCCCTTCATTCAAATCCCTTCTTAGAATGCTTTCTATATCCTTCAATCTAAATCCCCCTAAACTGGGTTAATATTTTTATGAAATATATTGTATCTGTGTCACGTGGGAGCCTGGACTGTCCTATGCTCTTCTGTATGTTAAAACTATATTATCTGTGCCTGGTTTAGAGCCAGAGTTGCTTGCGTTGTGTCTTGTCTTGTTTAGGACAGTGGGATTTACTGACAAGAATGGAAGGAAGAGAATTTGTCCCTTGAATTATGATTTCTTGGAATGGAGAAGTTATTACTTTGCATTTGCTATGTAGAATAAATAAGGTTTCATGATTATTTTCTTGCAGACCAAGCTAGTAAGCTGGTCATCAGTTTATTATAGAACCATAGAAAAGTAGGGCTGGAAGGGACCTTCACTAGGCATCTACTCCAGCCCACTGCATGAGGCAGGATCATCCCTTTCCATACCACCTTATTGTTTAACCTGTTACCAAAACTACATGGTCAAACCTGACACAATCATAAGATATAACATCCTAACCTGCTACAGGTAAAGTAGGAGGACCACAGTGGCCAACCTTCTGCTGCTGCAAAGGTTGTTAAAATATGCTTAGGAGATCCAAGGAAGAGGGCCATGCTGCCCACTACAGAGAAGGGCAAATATCTCAGTCTGTGCCAATGGGGTAAAATTCCTTTCTGACCCCAAATATTGCAATTGCTCTTACCCTAATCTGAGAAGCAGGACTCTCTATGTAGCAAACATAAAAAAGACAAGTTGATTACTTATTATTTAGAGAAGAACTTTTCCTTTTAAAGGGATAAATAGAAAAGCTAACAGCTCCAAAGTGGGAAGAAATCTTGTTCAGAGAAGGTATTGGTTATAATAGAGCAGGGGTTCTCAACTGTTTTAGTTTTAAGGCACCCCTTGTTAGACTCAAAGTCTTCCTTAGAAAATGTCAGCTCTTATATGTGTCACTCATTTTGACTACAGAAAAATAATACAGCAATTCTGTTGCAAATAACTCAGACTACAGCAAGGCGGAATGTTTTTAAAACTTTGGATTCCTAGTTGAAATCCCTGGGTTTATCTTATAAGTCTCAAGACGTCCTGGTTGAGAATCACTGAATTAATTAGATCATTACCAAATGCTGCTCTGTGTGTTATATGTATTGGCAACAGGAGGCTTTAAATGAGTATGTAGAATGAAAAAATACGCTTCTCTACAGTTAGTGAACGATATAGATTAAAAAAAAATGAAGTTCTTCTAAATACATTTGTGTGTCATACCTAATCCTTTTAACCTGCCACCATGAGGGCATGGATAGATTCAATCTGGTATGCTGCTGAATTGCTGCCACAGTAACTTTAATTCAAAAGATATTACAGGCAGTCCTCGACTTACAACGTTTCGAGTTACAATGTTTCACACTTACAACGTTTATAAATTAATACCGTTTCAACTTTGACGTCAGTTTTGACTTTGCATCAGATCAAGCGTTGTAACACCATGCCAGCGAACAAGTTCACTGCGTTGCTCATCTCCCTGGAGAACATCTGTCCAAACTTCCTTGGACACTTTCTTTAAGAAAGCAGACAAGACTCCAGAAAAACCTGCAGCCAAGACTCCTAAGAAAACTCTAGCCAAGAACCCTTCAAAAAGTCCAACCAAGAGCCTTTCAAAAAGTCCAGCAAAGTCACCTCAAAAAAGTCCTTCTAAATCAATATGATTGCTATTTACAATATAAATACATTAATGTAGTTATATTACTAATTTATAATTGATCGAGTACAAAATTCTGGGGTATTTTTGGTGAAAATAGGGTATTGGGCCTTGGTTCAGGAGCCAATCCCCCATTTATAACATTGTTTCTTATGAGAAAATTGGTTCCAAGTTACAATGTTTTAACTTAAGTCATGGTTTCAGAAACCAATTGTGTTGTAAATCTGAGGACTGCCTGTAATTTACTCTTCTTTCATGATCTAGTGGGGGGCAGATGTTACATCTTTATGATATTTTAAGAAAGCCTCCTCAAAGTATCAGTGATATCATTTACAGCGAGCCATACAAGTATTATGTATATATTTGGGCCGTCTCCTTTTTTATCATCATCCTCTTGCTTCATTATGCTTTTCAGGCTATGTAATTAAAATTTACTAGCACCTGAGTTGTGTAATAGACTATAAAGTAGGTTATCTTGGGTTATGAATCATCATTTTATCAATTGGAATCTGTGTCACCTAGTTAGATTGACTTTATACTGGTAGAAGATTATGATGTTACTCGGTTGTAAGCATTTATTTGAGTATGCATCATCATGGTAGGGGATGTCCTGCACAGCATAAATTGAGACAGTAATGATAGACTAAATGCCATGCTCCAAGCTGGAAGGACATGGGTAAAGACGTGCATCTTGCAGCTATTCCCCGAAAAAAGTGCGTCTGCAAGGAGCAAATGTCTGACTTGTGGATCTACTGCCAAGAAAGCTCTTGGACACAGGTGACACAGATTCCAATTAACTGGGACAGATAACAATTAACAAGCTTACTACAAACTTTTACAGTGTACTGCTAGAAAAAAAATCTTAACTTTTCTATCACACTGATCTTTGGTGGTGCCAGACACTAGATAGGCCTTTTATCATGAGGTCAAAGTATAGCAGGTCAGTAATGATACAGAAATACTTGTCACTTTGCACTCTCAGTTCACAGGTGAAATGATTAACCACTTGATACGGCCAGAATGATTGTATGATACTGTACGAAGGTATAAATATGTCTTACAAAGATATAAATATTTGCTGCTCTGTGCTAGGCCATGTGCCTCCCTCCTCCCCCCAGTCCCCCCACACTTCCTACTCCCCCACTGCTGCACTGCACTGTGTGGGATCCCTAGGTCCTCTTGAGCCATCTGTGGGTTCCATCAGCCTGGTGGGCTTTGCCACCCTGCTTCTAGGGTCTGGGGCAGGAAGCAGGAGGAGTGAAGGAGAGCCCAGAGATGCTAATAGCAGCAGCAGGAGAGCAATGATAGGACCAGGAGCTCGCAAACTGCAGGCTAACCCCTTGCAGGGGTGCCACATGTGGCCCTTGAGCCATCAGTTGACAGCCTTGTTTTAAAACAAGAACTTGGGAAGACCCTTGATTCTTGGAGTCAGGAATTCAAATTTCACTGTGGTTGACTTAGTTCTCTCTCCTTCCAAGGTAAATAAACTGAGAAAAGTGTGGTGAAATGAGTTGTATTTGTTCACTGTGATCTTGCAACTAGAGGCCCTTTTTGCTGTTCAGAAGCACTGAAGATTTGTGGTACTTGTCTTAAGAGAAAATATTTCTTTGAGCAAAATTTTCACTACCACACATACATACTCTCTTCTTTTGTAAGCTGGAAATTTTCAGAAGTAAGCCAGTTTCATGGAAGGACATCTCATTTGTGAAGTATTTTGGATGTTTTGCCAGGTAAATGTAAACTAAACTAGTATATATTAAACTTTGGAGATACGCTATTTATGTAGAATCTGATCATTGTTCGAAGAAATTAACATAGTGAAGTGAAAACTACATCTTGCTGCTTGTGCGAGGCCAGTCTATTTGCACTGATTAAAATGGGCAAACACTGGGCTGTTGGGTCTACTAATCTACTAGCTTTGCTCTGTGTAACCTAAGGCTTCAATTAAACTGAATTTTCTTTATTACACAGCTCTGGAGAGTCACAGCTTAAATACAGATGATGGCATTACTGTCTCAGCCTACATATACCAAGTGTCCCATCCCTGCAAATGTCTTTACAAAAACATTAACTGGAGCTATTTGGCTTTCCTGTGGCACTATTCCACAGGAAGGAAGGATGTGTAGTTTCTCAGGCTTCAATCTCTAGGCATCACTGACTGTTCAGAATATTGCTGAGCAAACCTTCCAAATTATTGGAGAGGCAAAGAGATGCTCTTGCACCTGAGGCTGCCTGCTTGAAAATGTGATAAACCGAGAGAGGATTTAATTTATGTCCTCTGTGGGGAAAGATGCCTGGACCAGAAAGAGCTGTTTGGAGTAATGAGAATCAAGACCAGAGAACAAACTTCTTCCTGCACAAAGGTATCAAATTCATCAGGCCCTGTGGGCCAGATGCAAGGTGTAGGGCTGGTCTGTGGCCTGGATTGAGCCTGCAGACTGGCCCCACACACAGGATCCAGCATGCACCGCAGTCCAAGACTTGCAGGCAGCACAGTGAGTCAGATGCTAGAGCTCTTTAGGCCAGATCTGGCCCATGAGCCCTATCTTCGACATCCCTGTTCTGCACCCTGGGAGAAAGAGGAGAAGGGGCTAAAGCAGAGGAGGTAGAAAAATATTAGGAGGGTAGAGGGTCTTTTTAAATTTAGCACCTGTGATACAACCCTACACTTTTCTTTAGCAGAGAACATCTGGAAATGACTCTGTTGTCTGGAGAGAACCACAGGGAAAGAAGGTAAGCTACCACAATAGTTGTATTTGTTCTTTGGGATCTTGCAGCCAGAGGCCCTTTTTTGCTGAAAGACCTCAGGTTAGGTAGGAGAATTGAGCTTTGTGATGCTTCTTTATATTTTTTTTAAGTTAAAACATCTAAAGGCCAACAGTTCAAAAGTTAAGGCTGAAACCTGGTTTTTAACCCTTGCTGCAAATAATGTGGTTGAGTGAGACAATGCAGAGACAAGGCTCAGTGCCAGCGCATGGGGCCAATTTTAACCTCTGTTTTCCAGCATATGCAGGTGATGTTTGGACACAGCACTTTGGCGATTTTATTTTTTTTTTAATTCAGTGAAGTGTGTTTATGTGCTTCAAACCAAATGAGCATCAATATCTTGGTAGATGTGTGCTTGATCATCACACGCAAAAGCTATTATTTGAACAGATTCAAATTTTTGCATTAGTTTTCGGTTTAAAGAGCATGATCGTCTTATAGGTGTTTCCTAAGGCATATTGCAAACTTTTCACACATCTTCTTAGGGTTGTCTCATCTTCACAGCTGGTGGCCTCGACAGAAGAACTGAATGGGTCAGAATGAATAAACTATCCTTTTGCCAGTAGAGGTGTTTCTGCAGCTTAGGGGTGAGGCTCATTGTCAGGTTACTTTAAGGAAAACTGTACTGCTGCACTTGTACCTTTAACTTTATTTTGCCTTGTCAAAGATGCAGAATACTAAAATGTGCCATGGTAGACAACATAGATTTAAAATGGATAGTCTGTACGCAAAGTAAAACAGAAAACAAAGCATTATGTGACAACAGTTAATTCAGTGACCATGTGACTATCTTCAAATGTATTTTAAGTGCATACGACATATTTTTTGCTAATGAGTTTCTTGCATGTCATGTCAGCTAAAACAAATCATGCCTTTTTGTGTAATGTATGTAGGTTTCACACTCCTCTGACTCTATGAAATGAGCCAATTCTGATTATTGCTCTAAACAGAATCTGAGGAGAGAATTCTTTTAAGCTTTACTTGCTGTTGGAGGGCATAGGACGGTTCAGAGTCTATAAGCCTGGTCACTCGGGTTTCTGTTTTCTCTTTGGTTTTAAATGGATGAAGTTCTTTTCTAGATTTATAATTGTATAACTTTGTGCCTGTTTTATTTCATGTGGCAGAGGCTGGCTACATATTTGCATTTCTTTTCAAGCTACCACTGGTCTTTGGAGGGAGGATTGTCAGGTTGTGAAGGGGTAGTGAGTGTGACGACTGGCTGTGGTATGCAGTGCAGGAGTATGGGAGAGAGCAGAGCAGAAATGGGGGAGAGGGAACCACACTAAAGTTGGGGAAGTTCACTAGAAACTTAATTCAATTTTTTTTTAAGCTGGAAAAAATAGGGGTGAAAAAATGCCTTAGGCGGTTCATGTCCAGTTCTACAGGGTTTTTGTCATCTCTGCTGCTTTTGCTTTAGGATAAACACAGTCTCTATGCAAATATCTGATTCATCTGTAGATGACAATTAAGATTCACAGTTCTTCTGTTATCAGGACACTCGCATTCCAAGATGATAACCTTGATGACTAAGTAACCCCTTCTAGGTGAGTTACTATAGAATTGGGTTGCAACTCCTGTGTTTTACCTCAGGTTTACCATATTATCAAGAGTATTTTCCTTGCTTTGCAAGAATCTCCTAGCTTATGGTTACTGTAAACAGCAACATGTTCTACTACATATATACTACAGTCCCCCAGTTTAGGCCTTTTATATACCCATAGCATCCCCCAAACTCCTAGAGAGGTACACTTGACACTATTTCTCCTTCTCCCCCTTTTGTGTCTAATGTTCCATCCACACCCCCCCCCCCCC